ATATTATTATTATTATTACATAAGAAAAGAAACGAGATATATAAATACAAAGATAAACTAATTTTCATAAAATAAATTTAAATAGAAGAAATCACATTGTTCATTGATAAAATTTATCAATTAATAAATATTTTCCATGGATAAATTATTTTTTCTTATAGTATTTATTTATAAACGAGAAGACTGAATTTAACCAGAAAATCATTATAAAATTTACGTTCGTTGGCGATGTATAATTTTTACCACACTTTTTATATAAATCATATTTACATTATTTATATAATATAAAATATCATTTATATAATAGTATGAAGGCTTTCAACTTTTTTTAAGTTCTAAAATAAAAGAAATAATTTACTTTATTTTTCATTGAAAATTTAACCTACATATATCTTTCATGTTAATAGCTTTTCGATAGACGAGTTAAGAAACATTAAGTCCTTGGTCATTTGAATGAATTTAGAGAATAGTGATTGAATGAATTTAGAGAAGAGTGATTGAATGAATTTGAGAGGATTTGAAGGTAAATTTTGTTGTTATTTATTTGAGTCGATTTTGGAGCTAAGTGAGAATGAATTTGGAAGTAAATTTTTTTAATTTGTCACATCAATCAAATTCTACAGTAATTCTCATCAACTTTACTTTTAAATCTACTTTCACTTACCTTTAAAATCCACTCAAATAAACAACAAAAAATTTACCTTCAAATCCTCTTAAATCCATTCAATTACTCTCTCCCAAATCCATTCAAATGAATAAAACCTAAGTAACAACTTCAACTTTTGAGGTGTCAAGTTAACCTTCTACTTCTTGTTTTTCACATGTAACCATACAAGCATACACTTGATTAAGAATTTTCTTAATTTTTAAATATATTTTAAATTCACACAATGACTTTGAATTCTTCTTACTTTTATTCTTAAAATTACTCTTTTTTTTTCTTTTTTTTCCCTTTATTTTTCATCTTTCCTTTTGTACTAAATTCTTCGTCTTCTTCCTTCCATAATTCTCCTTCATCTGCATTTTTCTTTCTTTTTTATAGTTAAACATTATAAAGTCTTCGTCTTCCTTTTCTTTTTGAAAGGATATTAAATAGTCTATACTTTAAACCCATGAGAGTAAATGTTTAGCAAATTTTAGTTTTACTTCTAATATTGTGTTTCACGAAAGATATTAATTAGGAAGATAAAAAAATATGGAAAGTTAGATGTGACACACAAGAATTCCCTTTTTGTGACAAAAAATAATTTTGTTCTTCATACATTTCTTTCCTTGTATTTCTAAAAAACAAACCTAACTCGTCTTATTCTGACTGTGTCCGTCAATGTAACCAAAAAAAGATACTAATAAGTGCTAACTTGCCTTTTAAATTTAATAATTATAATAACCAGCTCACATGTAAAAGTTATACAATAGAAAAATATAGAACCAACTAAAAATGTTTCTACTTTTTACTTTTCAAAACATAATCACTTTGAACATTTTCTAAAATAATTTTATAAATATTATTTTCAGAAACTATACTTTTCCATAAAAAGTAACCAATACATAATTTTTGTGGTGGAAAAGTTACACCATTCACCCGTGCACAAGGGGTTTAATTCTTGCGCAGAGGGTCCATCATACATACCGGAAACACTGAAGAATTATATGAAAGAAAATGTAAAATGATGGAATATTTTTAAAGATAAATTTCTGACAAAATCGACACATAAACATCCATACTTGACTTCAAAAACCTTCAATTTCCTATGCTGCTAGGCCTGGTTTTTTATTTAAAAATTTGTAACATAAGCCAATTGAATTTCAACATAATTTAAAAAATACTTTGATAAACTTTTACTCTTTTTTACAAAAGATAAATAAATAATAAAATCAGTGGCATTACATCCAAAAAAAGTTTGGAGAATTTTCACTTAATATATAAAATACTGCATATTTCTTTCTTTCCTTTCATCATCACCTTTTACAAAACTTCCATTACAAGCTGATATGAGGTCCATGATGTTAATTATGTGTGTGCGTGTACGTGGAAGATATCAGATAAAGAGAGACACAAAAATATATAAGTGATTTCGTTTTGAAGAAGTGGAGAGAAGGAGCTAGAGAAAGGTATACATAGAATGAGGTTATGCAACTTCGTGTGTGAAAAACAAAGGTAAACGTCATGATTCCATTCTATGCAAGAGTGGAATCATAATGCATGGATTAAAGAAAGAAAAAAAAGTGATGCTGCTAGTTGTTATTTTTTCAAGAGCTAGTTAATTATGTTCCTGACTTCAGTTTTCATGCTCTACTGCATGATTTGCAATATATTGTTGCTCTCTGAAATATTGAAAACATGCATTGATATTTGAAAGAGCAGTAGTTTGGTTTGTACAAAAAGGGTTGAAGATGGACCAAAAATGAAGAAAAAATGGTGATTTGATTAAGCAACATAAATAGTTTTACGGTGTTGGTGGTGTAAAATCTTTTTGGGTTTGTTTTTATTAGGGTTAAGACCCACCAAGAGGTGGTCATTTTGGGCGGTAGCTAAGAGGGAGGGTCTGATGAGCTAAAAAGATGGGGATTGAGAAATGTTATTGAGTGGGATCTACTTTGGGTTGAAAGAAGCAAAGATGAAATGCATAGATGGGGAATGTCGTTATGAGCACAAACGATCTGATTAGAGAAAATAATTCTTTGCTCCGCAAGCAAACTAGAATTTCCCACTTTTTGGTGTTACATTTTACATTTTAGCTCTGTTGCACCTTGCTCTTCAGTCAAACGCATGCTCATACCATCATTGGCACATAACTGCTACATGAAACTTATCATTACGCACTAAAATTCTATACACCCTACTTTCTTCATTAACTATTAGGCATATTTAAATCGATCGGCTAAATCACAAGAGAATAATTCCTAATATATCAATGGCACCAAAGAGGATGATGATTTGGAGGTTGGGTTTTGCGAACTGGATACACCTGATGACGATGGAAAGGAAATTGACAATATTGTAGCTTTTGATGCTGACCAATCGGATGACAACGGTGACAAGGAGAATGTCGAGGAGCACGAGGTTGAATTTGAACTACTCAATGAGACCATGAATGCGCAGGTGTATCTAAGTGCACCTCTAGATAAGTGGTTAAGGGAATGTGCTAAGCAGAAGTGAAGTGTCTAATGGCATGGTTCTTAGAAGGCGAAAGATGTTTTCGAGAGCTGTGGAAGTATTTGAGCTGAGTTTGAATTGTTTGTTCGTTATGTCTTTTAAGCTTAATTATACATTTGATCTCCGTATTTGTTAAGTTGGTTAAATTTCGGCTTCATATTTCTTTTGTTTAAAGATTTGTGAAACGATCAAGGCTTCTCCAGAAAATGGAATGTGTCAAGATATGCGCATGAATGGAGGTCACTATTTTGGCCAAGTGAAAACTTAATCTCAAAGATATAAACCTTCAAATGAGTTTCTATTTGCAACGCATCAACCTTGTACTAAAGCAATGCCACTACACCAAATGAAGGTCATATAACAGAACAATCAAAGAACTTCAGCACACATCGAAGAGATCTAACAAAAAAATCTATTTATTTATGGAAAAGAAGGAGCCTCAGGAAGTGATGATGATAACGAGGGCTTCTCTTTTCTTAGTTCCTTGACAACAGCAGCAAGTGCTTCTGGATTGACTCCAAGATCACAAAGTGCAATTAGAACCGAAAGTGTGTGACGGTCTAGACCCGTGTCAAGTATATTGGACATATGGAACGCCAGGTCTAGAGATTCTCGTGCAGCTCGAGCAGCTTCCGGATCCATACTTTTAAGCTGAGAAATGGGCAGAGTATATCCAATTCATTAGTATTACAAAAATTAAATCACCTGAACACATGTCACAGATTCAGATATATAACAAAAGTTAACAGATTGTTAGGATCAAGCATTTGAAAAAGTTGTGATTAGAAAAAACAAGGTTCTTCACTTTACAAATTTATAGTATGAGCATAGTTATAATTTCCGTTTTTAAAATTCTCTACTTGGATGATAAAATTTGACAATTACCATGAAAATAAGGAGAGAAATTAGAGCTCAACAGATTTGAACTTTTACAATGCAAATTCGTGTGCACACGCTCACACACACATACTAAAATCTTATGAAATGCGTGGAGAGCGTGATTAGAAGCCAATCTTGAAATAATAATGATCTTCGAGATAGACATAATGTTAAAAAAGTATACTCCTTGATTGCCTCAATTCTAAAGCTGAGGCAATTCTTTAACTCCACTGGGCATGCGAAAAGGCTTGACATAAAAAGAAAAATCCCAACATTCCATACCTAGTAGAATTATTTAAATTTTCTTCAATCTAGAGGAACAGAAAATATCACTTCGGTAGTTTTGAGGTTGGTTTTCTTCTATGTTGAAATCTTTAAGCTTTCACACCATTTTGCAGTTCCTATAGTGTGCCAATTTCCAACTTTCAAATTGCTAAGCTATAATAGCATTAAAATTCAAGTACAAGTCCCTTTGATAAAAATCATATTTTTTTAAAAAGAAACAAAACTTGAATTATTTTGTTAGATGTCAAATGACTATTTCTTCTTCCTCAGCCATTAGTTTGCAAACTAGTTTTAGCGAAATTTCAACCCTAGAATAATTAGAGATCGGAGAAAGTAACTTTTGAAATTTCTTATGGAGTGTCAATCAATTTCTTCCTCACACAGGTGTTCTTCCTTTTTCTTCTTGTTTTTACAGCAGAGCGGAGGCAAAGCGTATTAGACTTTACCACATATATCTGCTGCTCTGTTTGAATCCAAACAGCATAGCACGGCCCAAAAGTAAAAAAGAACAAGCATTGGCATCACTGGCCCAAAAGAAAGATGGATGAAGTATGACTGTCTCAAAGGGTAGATGAGAATGCTCTTAAAAGGTTTTTGTGACACTACATAGTAAAAGAATTGCCTAGGTTATTGTCTTTCATTATAGTTCAGTCTGAACGTAGAAGATAAGTTACATGATAAGATGTCTTCTAAGACTTACAAAGTGTTTGGATTTGCATCCTCAATCCATATTTTCACGTCAATGTAAAGATGCAGAAGCAACTTTCTGTTAGTTCAGAGTTGACGCACATATGCAGAAGCAATTCTTAGGATTCACCAAATTATTTTGGATTTCAGTATTTTCTTAACTTGTCTCACGAGACTATGTAGGTATGTAATCTCATAATTTAGTTTTTTAATTATTCATGAGAAACTTTATAGTAATAATAGAACAATAATAAAAGCACTTAAACGGTATTTAGTCCTATATTTTTATATTAGTTAAATAGCCTAAACACTCATGCAAGGAAACAATTGAAATTTCCATAGGAGAAATAAGGATGAACTACTACCATGCACCAAACCTGATTTTGTTATAGGTCCCATTCAGATGGAACTGACCTCACTGTGGTGCTACAAGGTAAGGGAGGCCCAATGGAATTTTAGATACTCAAGGACAATATATGGGTTTCTAATCAGACAATTCTAAACGGTCTTGTCATCAACATTAGAAACACAATTTTCAGTAAGACTCACTGTTTCTTATTCTAAATAGAAGGGAACAAAATCATTTTCTTAAGGGGAGGGTCTTATTCTTGGTGAGCAGAGCAATGGGAGCAGAACAAACATGTAACTGAACTTTACCCATCTACATACATATAGAATTAAGACATTTGGTTACGTTGTTTTTAAGTTCATGTATATTTAATTTCCCGAATTGTTTTAAGTTCATGTTTGATGGTTTCTCAGATAACCATAGATTTTGAGTTTAGTTTTGACTTTCTTGCGACACTAGTGGTGCAGACTCCTTTTTGGCAAAATCATGGGTAGTGAGACTTTGGGACTGGTTTTCACATGTTCCAAGTCACAGTGAATCTAGAATAGATGCAGGGAATTATTCTCAAATGCTATGAACTAAAAAAACCCAATGAACAGGGCTAATTGGGCATAATTAGGCAAAAAAATCTCTACAGAATCGGCAAAGAAACTGCAAGACAGTTGAGAAAACAGAAGTCAAGCAATGAAGATGGATAAAACAATGAACTTGAAGTAACATTGCAGCAATTACACCAAATTCAAATAAATTAAATTAACCCTAGATTATAAAAGTAACGAAATCAAACAATAAATTTAAATTCAAACAAATTAAACTAACCAAAAGCAAAACCTAAATTACATAGATAAAAGAATGTGATAGACTGACCTTGCAAGAACCACACACCAACACGTTCTTTAAAACGCAATACAGCAATCCAATGTTGAGCTTCAAAGACGCACTAGGGCAAGCAACCGAGAGTGGGTGTGAGAGATTGAGGCAATAAACAAAAAATTGGTAGAACGAGAGAGAAGAGCGAGAGACTTACAAGACCTAATCGCAACCACGGTGAGAAGGTGAGAGAGAGAGGGAGACGATGGCCGGTGAGAAAGGAGATAGAGGTGTGATGAGCCTTTTCAGTCACGTTTATAAGTAAATTGAAATAATTTATAATGCATCAGTAGTTGGAAAACTAATTGGTATTGGAATTAAACGAGGTCCTTCCTAATTTTTACTAGTCATACATGATTTTCCTTATAGGACTGGGAATTGGTTTATTTAACAAAAGAAACAGTTCCTACTTCTAAAGAATCCTAATATTCAAATAAATAGTATATTCTTTGCCTAAGTGCTTCAAATGCTATACTACATTCAAGTGAATAGAAATCGAAGATAAGGAAACAAGCTAAATTCAATATATATGTTACATGTCAAGTAGCTTTTTAAGTGCGTTATGTTTCCGCTACAATCAAAGAGGAGAAATAAGGCACACCCTAAAAAACTAAAACTTTTTTATTCCAATCCATTGATGAAATTAATTCTCGACCTTATGCACAAACAAAACCATTTTCAATCTCAACTATTTTTATCCCCTAATACCAGTACTTTGCTAATTTTGTACCGCTATTTTTCCATATCAAAACAACAAATTGTATTTTACATTCACTTTCAAATTTAATTACACAAAATATGCAAGAGAACTTTGTCAAACCTTTAGATTGAAAGCTCAAAATCTTAGAAGTCTCAGCCAAATAATTTCCGTTCAAAGCCCTGCAAATGAAAGCAAGAAGTGATTATCACTTATAAAAAAAGGATTTATAACATCACCCATGAATTATGTAATACACAAATCCAAATTTCAAGTAGATAATAGTCAATGCAATGTCAACAAACACATCTAACTCTAATCCAAGTTTGAATAACAACCCATGAATTATAAAAATCACGAGAGAGAGAAAAAGGATAAAAGGGATGTGGAGAAGAGAGGAAGAAAGGGAAAAATGACGGTGGAAGGTAGACGGTGGGAAAGAGAGGATAAAGGGGAAAAGGGTGGTGGAAGGGGGAATAAGGTGAACCCAAAAAAAAAAAATCAAAAGGGGTTACAAAAATAAAAAATAAATTCTCACATATGTCATCTTGCAAACGACATTAACTAAAATCGTCTTATTAAGTTTTAAAAGAAAAATAAGAAGTAAATTAAGTCAAAAATAAATACAGTGAAATTATTGAATGAAAAAATCACTAAATTACTAAATAAGCCTAATTTAAAATTTTAAAATTGTTTTTAGTATTTACAAGATGTTTTATTTAGTCCCTATAAGGAATATTATTTAGATATTAAGTGACACATGGTAGTAAGATAAAAAAAATCAATTTTAAGGATGAAAACCAAATATTCTCCTTTATAAATACTAAATTCAAAACATGCCATTTAATAAGAATTAAAAACACATTGAAGTCTAGCTTAAAATAAAACAAGATTTAATTAACATTTAAAGGTAATAAAACAATCAGACTAATATACAGTTTAAATTTTAAAAAAATTAAATCTTAAGTAAGTTGTGTATGAAGATTATTTAGAAAAGTTAAACCAAAACGAAGCCTTCACATGCCTCCTCTGGTTACATTTAGCTGTAGAAAGTATGAAACTATTTCTCAAAATTACACCTATAAAGAGTTGGACACACAAATGTCTTATCCTTTTCAAGGGGTAACTATCCTTATCATTACAGCATCAAAAAGATCTTAAAAAGAATTGTGAACTATATAAAGTTAAGTACAAATTTCTTGGATGAACCATTATTGCAAGCAATCAATCTTGGGTTCTTCTGGGGAATATACTACACTCATGAGGCCAAAGCCTACTTGCAAGATGTTGCAAACAAAAATAATTCCATAGGGAGGGGGCACTCTAAACCAATTTGATACCTGTAGCCAGGCCATCACTACACCGACCTCTGAAAAATATGGTGTGCTTTTATATGCTTTACTCTTATTCCAAATTCCAAAATCCCAACGCACATTTAACCTTTCACTTTAATTCTTCATTCCAATGCATTACATTCTTATTTAAACAATCATAAACCTAAATCAACTATGCTCAAAGTTGTGGTCTACAACGTTACTAATCACATTCATTGCACCTATCACACTCAACAATTTCTTATGTATGGAGTGATTTTTATTTTACACACTTCTCCCCACCACGTCTCTATAGTAGGGGTGGGATTGGCGGATTAATCAGGCCACTGGACAAAAAAAAGGAAGTAGAACAATAGTTAGAATTCTATGTATGAGTTTAAGTTTTACATTGGATAAAAACGAAAAAATAGAACATCATATAAAGGTGAAGATCCATTGATTCATTGTTTTAAGGTTTTATGTAAAGAGTGGTGTCAATATTTTATGTGATTAGGCTCAGATCTCATTGGTGCTATATCTCATCAGTTAACCTCCTCCTTTATCAACCTAACAACGATCTCTCTAATCTTATTATCCTAGTATCGATCTCTTCAATTCGGTTAGTCTATCTGTCCGATATTATTAAAAAAAATTAAGTGTATTAAAATAAGTGATAAATTATTTAATGAAAAATTTAATTACAAATAAAAATATTATATTTAAGTAAGTGATAAATTATTCCAAAAATAATTCGATCTCAGCCTGACGAGTAACTTGATATGAATCCGTTTTCCGGATTGTAAAAGTCAAATTGTTTTTACATGAATAATAAATCTTGCTAAGTAGTACTTCAAAATTAACAAAATGAAACAAAATTTTGCTCTCTGATTTTTTTTCCGCTTCTGTCATAAGTTGTTCTCTGCCTACCAACTCAAAGACTAATTTAATGTGATATCACAAGAACTTTTTCACACTTTACATAATAACATTGACTATATATTTTGTTTGAAAAAGTGAAATAGACAAAAACCAAGTGGATTTTATAACCGACGCTTGCAACGTATTATGTAGAGAAATGGTAACACATTTTACGTTCATTTGAGACAAGATATAAAGATAAAATAATTGTAAAATTTTATATTTAAAAAAAAACAAATAAAAAATAAGAAAGAATAATATCAAATAAATGGAAAATATTAAAATGTGTCAAATAATGATTTTCGTGTGTCATGTATACTCCTCCATAATGATAATTTTTTCTTATCTGTACTGTTATCAAAAGCTACATCTTTATGTTATCCCCACTCAACAAATAAGTGGTCCATAAATCTGATGGTATTTTTCTCGGAGTGATTCTTCCTACACCTCACTGCCTTTATCCTGCACCCCCAATTTTACTTTTTTACCCTTCATTAATACCGCACTTCGGAGTGCGTTTTAATTAATTTTTTCCTAACCGCACTTCGAAGTGCGTTTCTATTTTAATTAATTTTTTCCTAACCGCACTTCGAAGTGCGTTCCTATTTTAATTAATTTTTTCCTAACCGCACTTCGAAGTGCGTTTCCTATTTTAATTAATTGTTTCTTTCTTAACCGCACTTCGAAGTGCGTTTCCTATCTATTTAATTGTTTCCTAACCGCACTTCGAAGTGCGTTTCCTATTTTAATTAATTGTTTCTTAACCGCACTTCGAAGTGCGTTTTAATTAATTTAAATCCAAAATAATATTTAACATTACATATAATAATTATTATTTAATTCAATAAACAATTTAATAATTATTTCAATTTTATAAAAAATTAAAAAACTTAAATAAAATTAAATACATAATAAATAATATATTAAGAAAATAATAATATGTTGAAAAATAACAAATTCAACAAAATTTAACAAACAAATAAATTATTCAAAATATATTAAAACAAAACATTTTATTTAACAACTAACATAAAAAATTAAATTTATTATACTAACCTAATAAAAATAAAACCTAATAAAATAAATATATACTAACCTAATAAAAAAATTAAAAAACTAAATCCTAAAAATCTAACGCACTTCGAAGTGCGGTTTGTCTCAGCCTGCCGCAGATCGAAATGCGGTGGTGGGTTTTTGCTTTTCGCAGATCGAACTGCGGTTTCTCTTTGGAGGTGCAGGAGGAAGTTGCCGCAGTTCGAAATGCGGTTTCTCTGTGAAGGGTATTATTGGAATTAAAATATATTTTGGAGGTGCAGGAAGGATAACGTGAGGTGCAGGGAGAATCACTCTTTTCCTCGTGTATCATGGCGTACAAATTAGCCTTTCAAGAACAAGGTTTTGGTTTGGTCATCTTGAAATGCAGAGTTATAACCATTTATAGAAACTAGGTTAATGATGGCTTCTGTCACCTTATTGTCTTGCTTTTGCCCAAGTCCAACATATATGAGTTAAAAAGATATGATTGCGGATGTTCTTTACTTAACAAGTGTAAAAGCATACCAATGAAAAGGCCTTCAAGACTCAACCCACGTGCTAATCCAAAACGGGTAAAACTCCAAAGTGTTCCTGTTGTTTTGGTGAGCCTTGGCCTATAACCTACAAGCTAAAGGTTATTATCCCTACGCTACAACTGGCCTTAAGATATATTTTGCTTGATGACATTGACCTAAAGTAACAGCAAAAGACAAAGAAGTGTATCATCAAAGATATTTCGTATTCATGTAACTGTAGTGCATTTGTTGGTATTTGATGCAGTGATATAATCTATGAAACTATTTTTTGACATAAGAACAATGGAAGAATAATAAACTTATAGTTTATTTTCCGGTTGTTGCATATTAATGATATTGGCCAAGCAGGAGTGTTGGAATGTTGTTCAGGAAAAAGTACAGATACAAGATCACCACCAAGAAACATGAAAACACAAGAACTTTTCCTATGCAATCGAACTTTTCTGAACAAGATATTGTGGTTTTGTTTGTGGCATGCGTGGAAGTTTTTACACCAATTAATTATCACGCACACGGACTTACATAGTCATCACATACTCACATGCAAGCCGTTGGATAAGACTTTGCCCTACTTTAACTTTTTTTTTCAAGCGGTCCAAATTATGCACATATCTCACATAATTTGTTTCCATTTTGTACCCGCTTTGATTAAGTGGATCTGGACCCACTGAAGACCCTGCGAGTAAGAGAATAAAATAAAGATAGGCATTAGCTGACCTATCAAATAGAGTGTTCTACTTCTGCATACGTTCTTATGTTTTCAACCACAGCCCAACTTTGTTGTCTAAAACAAATCATATAATAATTCTATTTCATTTCGGCAAGATTTTGATGCCAACTGGCTTATAAAAGGAGGATACATTGCTACCTTCAACATATCAGCTCTTCCTTGAGTCTGATCATTACACACTCTTCAACCTTTTCTACCAACTCATTCTCTTTGCTCTTCCTGAAAGAAATGGCATCCAGTTCAATGTCAGCCTCAGGCTCATGGAGTGTCAAGGACAACAAGGCCTTTGAGAAGGCTCTAGCTGTTTACGACAAGGACACCCCTGACCGTTGGTACAATGTTGCTCATGCTGTTGGTGGCAAAACTCTAGAGGAAGTGAAGAGACAATATGAACTCCTTGTCCAGGATGTTAAACATATTGAATCAGGACGAGTGGCATTCCCAAATTACAAGAAAACTTCAGCCTCTGATCAGGAGGAGAATAGGTACCGTTCCCTTTCATTATAAATACTTTAATCACTGAGATTAGTACATCATCTAATAAATCAAGAGAAACTTGTTTTACTTATCAGTTACACAATCAAATTATCCGACTTAAGAAAAACTTGTGTGAGAAAAAACAATGATTGCACAACAAATACTCATCTAAGAGGGCAAAGAATAATCTCTCAATCAAGAAGGAAGAAGTTTATATGCAATAGTTATAAAATCATACCCACCATCCAACAACTTTTTAGATTTTATTGACTCTAATATTTTATTTTCCTTGTCAGGCTGAGGAATTTGAACCTCCAGTGACCCCAAACATCCGCAACAACATCAACTAATTGATTTTCTAATTTTCATCAACCAACATCTTCATCGTCCCTGGTAGTACTACCTGGTGCTATGTCACACATATGTGCTACTGCAATGACATTTTATGCTGTTTTAGTCATAAGAATCATATGTCCCGTGATTCCATCTTTGTATTTTCTTGTTGTTGAAGCTGCCTCTAAAAGAGTCAGTGACCGTTTCAGTTCCTAGTCCTAAAGGTTGGAGATCAGACAAACCACACAAACACATGTAACTAAAATAAAGATGAGAAAAATACCGACAAATGACAAAAATAATAATTTATACTAATTGAAGAAATCATAACTCTCTCCCGTTACATTGAAAGAACTTCTCAAATATTAAGAGAAGAAAAGATAGAAGAGAATGAGATTTTGAAATATATGTAAAGGGATTCCGATAATGCTCCTTCCAAGACTTTTCACATTCTTTCGAAGATTTGATGAAACTAATCAAATCTTCACACCATAATTTATGATCATGTTGCAGTACTTTAACGCTTTCCATCTTGATTTATCATGAATCTACTGACCACTCTCACTCCTTGATGTTTGATTTTGTACAAAACATAGCATACTTAAGACTATTGACCACTCATGCACATGTACTTGAGACATTTCCATCTTTTCCACTTCACTGTTAGGATTCATTTTAGGATAACCTACAATTGATAGAAAATGGGGTAGAAATTGACTTGCAATAATGTTACATGTTCAAGTGCCAAAGATCTTCAATAAGTACTTCTTCTGAGAACAAGGTTCCTCTAGGGAACAATTTTCTCTGTTATTGAAGAACAAGGTAACTGACGTACGTTATGATAATTAAACATATAATAAAATTATAAATTTATTTAGTGTGAGAAGTCCTACGTTGGAAAGTCACACATGAACTCTATGAAACCATTGCGCTTAACACTCAAATGACAAGAAGCGGGAAAAGTTGTTTTGAAGGTTTAATACAGACCTAGTTAAGGTTTAAACTCTTTGAATAAATACATGATTAGTAAGGACAGTTTCTCATTGTTTTAAGATAACAGTTCAGTTCTTTGTAAGAAGTGAAGTAAGATGAATTTAAAACAATGAAATGTTTTATGAAAAATGTTTTTTTAACCACTTTTTTTCACAACTTGTTGCAATAAGTGATTGGTGTATTTTAAATATACAAACTAATAAAATAGTAGCACACAATTTCTTGTTAAAAAGTTGTTAAAAAAGTTATTAATGATACATAAAATTGTTAAAAGAGTTATTAATGGTCCATGTTTTATAATAAGTACTGTAGAAAATTTGTTCATAGTACACAATCATTGCTTGAAGGGGCTTTCTAACAGTGGACAAAAGATGGGAAATGAAAAGAAAAAAAATATTTCCTCAAAAGTAAATAAATAAATAATATAAATTACAAGTAAATTAAATTTAAAAAGCCCATGTTTCAGTAATGTAAATTATTGTCTATTTTAAAAAACACAACCTTCGCTTTCCTTTTTCCTCTCTATTGTGTAAAATTGAACTTAGTATAAGTGTCTGTAAAATTTAATTGAATTATATAAATGTTTAAATAAACTTAACTGTATTATATAATTACAGTGATTCGAATTAAATTGATTAATTTAATACATTGGTTTTAGCTACGTGAAAAATCCTTTTTCTAAATATATTTTCAAATACGATGAGTCATAATTTTTTAAGTTTAAATTAGTCCATTTATGAACAATTTAATTTTAAAAGACTAAAATTTAACAATTAAGTCAAGTTTTCTTTGAATACTTTAGTTCTTCTTTTTCATACAAGTCAGTATTAATATACTTCAGTTCTAGGTGGTGTGGAAGTTTGGTTTGTTGGCAAGGTTGAACACCAAGTTAAGTGATTGCACCAGAAAAAAATAATATTAGAATAGAAGTAAAAAAAATATTACAGATTTTGTTACCGGTTTTTCTGTTTACATAAAACTTATCAAAGTAATAATTGATCGATTGCACATTTTATTTTAGTAAAAACTATTTTTTTTATGGGTCTCTGTGTTTAAATATTCATAGATCAGATTGTTAAATTGTACATAATTCTCATTTATGTAATTTCTATTTGTAATCTTTAATTTAAATCGAAANGTGTTGGAATGTTGTTCAGGAAAAAGTACAGATACAAGATCACCACCAAGAAACATGAAAACACAAGAACTTTTCCTATGCAATCGAACTTTTCTGAACAAGATATTGTGGTTTTGTTTGTGGCATGCGTGGAAGTTTTTACACCAATTAATTATCACGCACACGGACTTACATAGTCATCACATACTCACATGCAAGCCGTTGGATAAGACTTTGCCCTACTTTAACTTTTTTTTTCAAGCGGTCCAAATTATGCACATATCTCACATAATTTGTTTCCATTTTGTACCCGCTTTGATTAAGTGGATCTGGACCCACTGAAGACCCTGCGAGTAAGAGAATAAAATAAAGATAGGCATTAGCTGACCTATCAAATAGAGTGTTCTACTTCTGCATACGTTCTTATGTTTTCAACCACAGCCCAACTTTGTTGTCTAAAACAAATCATATAATAATTCTATTTCATTTCGGCAAGATTTTGATGCCAACTGGCTTATAAAAGGAGGATACATTGCTACCTTCAACATATCAGCTCTTCCTTGAGTCTGATCATTACACACTCTTCAACCTTTTCTACCAACTCATTCTCTTTGCTCTTCCTGAAAGAAATGGCATCCAGTTCAATGTCAGCCTCAGGCTCATGGAGTGTCAAGGACAACAAGGCCTTTGAGAAGGCTCTAGCTGTTTACGACAAGGACACCCCTGACCGTTGGTACAATGTTGCTCATGCTGTTGGTGGCAAAACTCTAGAGGAAGTGAAGAGACAATATGAACTCCTTGTCCAGGATGTTAAACATATTGAATCAGGACGAGTGGCATTCCCAAATTACAAGAAAACTTCAGCCTCTGATCAGGAGGAGAATAGGTACCGTTCCCTTTCATTATAAATACTTTAATCACTGAGATTAGTACATCATCTAATAAATCAAGAGAAACTTGTTTTACTTATCAGTTACACAATCAAATTATCCGACTTAAGAAAAACTTGTGTGAGAAAAAACAATGATTGCACAACAAATACTCATCTAAGAGGGCAAAGAATAATCTCTCAATCAAGAAGGAAGAAGTTTATATGCAATAGTTATAAAATCATACCCACCATCCAACAACTTTTTAGATTTTATTGACTCTAATATTTTATTTTCCTTGTCAGGCTGAGGAATTTGAACCTCCAGTGACCCCAAACATCCGCAACAACATCAACTAATTGATTTTCTAATTTTCATCAACCAACATCTTCATCGTCCCTGGTAGTACTACCTGGTGCTATGTCACACATATGTGCTACTGCAATGACATTTTATGCTGTTTTAGTCATAAGAATCATATGTCCCGTGATTCCATCTTTGTATTTTCTTGTTGTTGAAGCTGCCTCTAAAAGAGTCAGTGACCGTTTCAGTTCCTAGTCCTAAAGGTTGGAGATCAGACAAACCACACAAACACATGTAACTAAAATAAAGATGAGAAAAATACCGACAAATGACAAAAATAATAATTTATACTAATTGAAGAAATCATAACTCTCTCCCGTTACATTGAAAGAACTTCTCAAATATTAAGAGAAGAAAAGATAGAAGAGAATGAGATTTTGAAATATATGTAAAGGGATTCCGATAATGCTCCTTCCAAGACTTTTCACATTCTTTCGAAGATTTGATGAAACTAATCAAATCTTCACACCATAATTTATGATCATGTTGCAGTACTTTAACGCTTTCCATCTTGATTTATCATGAATCTACTGACCACTCTCACTCCTTGATGTTTGATTTTGTACAAAACATAGCATACTTAAGACTATTGACCACTCATGCACATGTACTTGAGACATTTCCATCTTTTCCACTTCACTGTTAGGATTCATTTTAGGATAACCTACAATTGATAGAAAATGGGGTAGAAATTGACTTGCAATAATGTTACATGTTCAAGTGCCAAAGATCTTCAATAAGTACTTCTTCTGAGAACAAGGTTCCTCTAGGGAACAATTTTCTCTGTTATTGAAGAACAAGGTAACTGACGTACGTTATGATAATTAAACATATAATAAAATTATAAATTTATTTAGTGTGAGAAGTCCTACGTTGGAAAGTCACACATGAACTCTATGAAACCATTGCGCTTAACACTCAAATGACAAGAAGCGGGAAAAGTTGTTTTGAAGGTTTAATACAGACCTAGTTAAGGTTTAAACTCTTTGAATAAATACATGATTAGTAAGGACAGTTTCTCATTGTTTTAAGATAACAGTTCAGTTCTTTGTAAGAAGTGAAGTAAGATGAATTTAAAACAATGAAATGTTTTATGAAAAATGTTTTTTTAACCACTTTTTTTCACAACTTGTTGCAATAAGTGATTGGTGTATTTTAAATATACAAACTAATAAAATAGTAGCACACAATTTCTTGTTAAAAAGTTGTTAAAAAAGTTATTAATGATACATAAAATTGTTAAAAGAGTTATTAATGGTCCATGTTTTATAATAAGTACTGTAGAAAATTTGTTCATAGTACACAATCATTGCTTGAAGGGGCTTTCTAACAGTGGACAAAAGATGGGAAATGAAAAGAAAAAAAATATTTCCTCAAAAGTAAATAAATAAATAATATAAATTACAAGTAAATTAAATTTAAAAAGCCCATGTTTCAGTAATGTAAATTATTGTCTATTTTAAAAAACACAACCTTCGCTTTCCTTTTTCCTCTCTATTGTGTAAAATTGAACTTAGTATAAGTGTCTGTAAAATTTAATTGAATTATATAAATGTTTAAATAAACTTAACTGTATTATATAATTACAGTGATTCGAATTAAATTGATTAATTTAATACATTGGTTTTAGCTACGTGAAAAATCCTTTTTCTAAATATATTTTCAAATACGATGAGTCATAATTTTTTAAGTTTAAATTAGTCCATTTATGAACAATTTAATTTTAAAAGACTAAAATTTAACAATTAAGTCAAGTTTTCTTTGAATACTTTAGTTCTTCTTTTTCATACAAGTCAGTATTAATATACTTCAGTTCTAGGTGGTGTGGAAGTTTGGTTTGTTGGCAAGGTTGAACACCAAGTTAAGTGATTGCACCAGAAAAAAATAATATTAGAATAGAAGTAAAAAAAATATTACAGATTTTGTTACCGGTTTTTCTGTTTACATAAAACTTATCAAAGTAATAATTGATCGATTGCACATTTTATTTTAGTAAAAACTATTTTTTTTATGGGTCTCTGTGTTTAAATATTCATAGATCAGATTGTTAAATTGTACATAATTCTCATTTATGTAATTTCTATTTGTAATCTTTAATTTAAATCGAAATATTTAGATGTAAAAGGATATAGTTCATACACACTAGAAAGATAATCCACCTTATGAGAATATGGTCAAACCGATTGAAATACCAAAAAGAAAAGATTACAAGACTCATTTAAAGATTATTGCAATAAACACTATTAGAATACTATTAGACCCTAATTAGACCTCCTAACAAGTAAAAATCCATTAAGGACGCTATAAATAAAGTATGTAGATAAAATATTTAATATGTTTGAATTATCTACATTTATTATATATCTTGATATCAATCACTTACTTAAGTTTCAGAAATGCCTTTTATAAGTTCTTAATCTAACGATGTTACACTTAATGATTAGACAAGAGTACCATAAGTAACTATTAAGAGTAAGAAGACTAAGAAGACACTAAGACTAAAATATATTCAATTGTACAAGAAGTGACATGTTATGAGTTAGATTTTTAAGGTAGTAGGAATACACATTTTTCAGTCATATATTTATCTTTAAGATGATAGTCATGAACCAAATATCCAAATAACATATTTTATAGAAGAAACTGTATATCATGAATTGCTTGAATTACTAGAGATTGAGTTTGTAATGGTCAAATTTGGTCACAAAGTCTTAAGAAAATGTAAGAGAAAGGTAAGTTGATAGCTTATAGTAGGAAAAATAAAAACCTATATATGTGTTGTCATCACCGAGGGTTACAGTTCAAGTAAAAAAGTAAGTATTTTTGTAAGTCATCCCTATGAAAGTAGTCACAGGGCTTGGTATTTCAATATGCTTGTTCATTTGAGATTCAATTGGATCTTGTAGTGGAGTTTGGATTCATTCATCCAATTTTTCATGTGTTTTTGTTAAAAAAGTATGAATTAGGTCCATCCCATATTATCACATCATAATCAATTCACATACAATGAGATATCTATCCTATGAAAAAACCTCTAAAAAAGAATTACTATTTAATAGAGATTATTATATATTGAGGTTCATATAATTTCAGGAATAGATTTAAATTAACAGAGGTTTTTTATCCTTGGTTTAATTTCAAAAATTTATTTCAAAAACCTCAACAAAATAGTTCATGTTTATTTCAAACCTTAATAAATGAATATAATTAAATAATTTTTAATTACTTTTATAAACAAATAATTAAAAACTATACAGTTTAATTTTTTGTTATCATTATTTTTCTCTTATGTTTTCATGTTTCCCTCTCTTTCTTCCCTTTAATCCTATTTCCTCAATTGTACTCACTCTCTTTACACACCTTAAATCCTAATTCCTCAATTCCTATCACTTTCGTGTTCATTGCATATCTTATAGCAGTGCACTTTATCTCATGCTACTGGACCTAAAGTTTATACCTCAATCCATAACCATGCTAGAACTTTAGTGTTTGGACTGAAGAGATGATTTGAGAGGAAGTGAATTGATGAATTTAAGGGGATGAAGAGGGAATTGTAGTGTTATTTAGATTAAGGAAAAATATTGTATTGTTTACATATTTTATGAGAGCTAAACTTCTTTAGTGTTATTTTTATATATGGGTTTGCTATTTTTTGGTATATTTTAACAAAGTATATCAAGTTATTTTAATAGACAAAAAAAATTATCATTCATAAAAAAAGACATACTTTAAATACAAGAGTATTTTAATAATTTTTATTTTTAATTTAAAAAAAAAAATCAGAAACACTCATCTAACCCTAACCCATATCCTTCATTTATTCAATTTATTTTTCTTTCATCTCCATCCTTTCTCTCACCCGTTCATAGTAACTCACAACATTGTAATTTGATGTTCACGTTGATTTCTTATTGGTAGAATGTATTATATTTTTTCCTTTTTATTATTATTTAATTTCGTTTTTAAATTTTTGAAACAGTAGTTCATCTTGAGGAATTTTGATACTTTTGATACTTTTTATTTTAAAACAGTAGTTTGACAATAACTTAAACTTAAAATCTTAAAACCTTAAAATAATAACTTTGCATACTTTTTATTTTACTAGATAAAACTTTCAACTTATATATATCCAAAATGAAAAAGTGTTTCACTAATAAATTGTCAAAATTAAGTATATAAAAAGTCTCTGTTGAAAAGGAAATGTAATAAATTCAACCATTAATATAGGTAAAAGAAAACTCTACGTCTCATAGTAATAAGAAAAAAAATTCTATTCATATAGCATAATTTTCCATGTGATAAGAATTTATAAACTGGAGGTAGCATACTAATAAAACATTATGATAAAATTGTCTGATTGTGGTATTTTTGATTCATCTAAAGAAACATGCTTATATTGAAAAAGTGTAAAACTGTTTTAAGAATGGTATGCACAGGAAAAGCATAACATGGATTGAACGGTGGAGGGGAATCAAAGTCTGGAATATAAACCACGTAAAAAGTGGACCCAACCAACAACCATAATAAAGACCTTTGGAGTCACCAAAACATTAACAACACGCACGCACACACATCGCGAGTAACCCTTCAACCCCAGTCGCGTACGTAACAACCCCGACATCAATTGTTCATTTCACATCAATAGGTTTCATAATTTTATTATTTTTATTAATTTAATTATTTATACATGCGTGTGACAGACGTCTATTTAATTTGGATAAAGCGGTAGAGAGAGCGAAACGAAGAAAACAAAAGCAAGGAAAAGTCACCCTCAAATTATCGAGGCTTCTCGTACCGGTGGCGATATATCGAAGGAAGCGTGTGAAGTGAAAAATGATTATCTCGTGTGAAGAAAAAAGCGCACGTCGATTCACTGTGACGCAAGACATTTTAAACGGTTCCAATCAGGTCGCTTTTGTATTTATCTAGAAAGAAGGAGTGCCATTCACATGTAAAGCTCCCCATTATAATAAATATAAGTGCGACTTTCTCTCCACTCTTTTTTTTAATTATTTAATTATTTTTTCTTTTTTCTTTTCTTCTGCATAAATATCTAATCTTATTGTAGATAATTTTATGAAATTATTATTACTATTATTATGAGTTTGTCGTTGAGAGTCCACGTGATTGATGTTAGTATGATGATAAAGTGCCACTTGTCGTGTTTATGGGAATAAATACGGAGTGATGTATCCTCCTTCCTGGCACCTGGACAGCATTAAGAGTCAGAAACTCAGAATTGCTAAGTTACAGTACACTACTCCTTTTTAGACCGTCAATATTCCAACATAAATATTCTTCTTCTTTCCTAATCCATTTACTTATAATTATTCCTATTTTTATGTGTATTTTATTAATAATTAAATATTAAATATTATTTATTCATGAAAGAGAGAAAGCATTAATAGTAATTGATAGGTGTCTTCAGCAACACGTGTCGCTTTCTGTGGACCACTTCCATCTCTCTCTTTTCTTTCCTTTATCTCACATTCTCCCTTCAACCAATCCTCTTTGCCTCTCTCCACTTTTAACAAACATACTAAACTCATCTCTTCCTTACCTTCATCAAATATTTTCAACTCAAAACATTAATTAAAAAATAACTTTATATATTTTCGCCATTGTATAATATTTAACTTTTTTTACTTTGACTTAATATAAAACTTATATTCTTGAATTTACAATAAATATTCATTTTCTTTCTTAATTTCTTCAATTACTACCTAACACGTTCTTTATTTGTTTAATTTAGCTTTAAAAAAAATGAAAAGAATTTACAAATAATTGCATTTATGTAACTATTTTTTATTAATTGCGAGGAAACCAACTTAGAAACTATTTTGTATTGTTTCATTATCTTTAATGTTTTCTTGAAAAGATCTTAACATCTGTGTGTTACTTCCCATTGCAAGTTGCAACACATCTTTGCTCTTGTCGTTACGCCACTGCAACTTATAGCATAGTTCAGAGCTGCTGTTACTCCTTGTTATGTTGTTGTCACTCACATCCACTTTCGTCGCTACTATCCCTGTCTCCCAATTTTAATAATTCAATTTTATGATATAATTGTATCATATAGGTTAATAATGTGTTAATTTGAATAAATATCATTATATTGCTTAATAACTTGTTTTTCCCCCAAAAGTTATGGTTAAGTTTAATAATTTCTTTTTATGCAAAACACATAATCTTTAACTTTCTTCCAAAAGCTCAAGTTAACGTATATCAAATCGGGATTCTCTTCTTTGTTCATTTTTATCACCAAACAAAAAAGTTACATTAAAATAGATATTATGAATTTGTTTTTATTTAAGGTTTTAGATATTAAAAGAAATTCTTTTTTATAAAATGAAACAAAAAATGATAAAGAGAAAAGTCAAATTTATAAGAAAGATTACGACTGACAATACCAAATTTAATATAAATTTAGCCGTACAGTTTTTATACGTCATAAGTTAAAAATAACTTGCATAAAATATCTTGGTTGTGCCAGTGTTCACTTACTGATTTGTTAATAAATAATAATTCTTTTGTAAAAAAATAATGTAAGTAAAAATAACTATTAATAAAGTATTGACAATTTTATCTGTAAAAGACGAACATATTGTATTATTTTTGTCTTTGTCGTAAGAAAAGTAAATAGACAGCCGACTGCCGCAAGAAGCCAAGCAGGAGCGTCTGCCTCCTATATGTGGGTCCCTCTGTACAGATATTTAATAAATAATATTGAAAAAACTAATATATAATAAATTAACTTTTCGTGACAAAGTAAAATCAACTCGTATATTTATAAAGAATCTCTTGTTAAAATTTTCTAAAACTAACTTCTAATTACAAAAGACTTATCTGTATTTTCCTATATTTTACTCATAATAAAAGTTAACGTTTCCTTTATATATTAGTGCTTAAATTAAATTCACTAATTTACAGTTAATTATACAGGCTATTCATCGTGTTTGCCCTACATCATCCCATATAAAAAATAGTAAATATCTATTTCCTTAAGAAAATGTCATAAAGTTAGTTTAATTTATTTTATTCACAGATAATGTTTTACCCTCTTAATATTAATATTGATTAATACTTATTACAAGTAATTCTGAAAAAATATATTCTCTATTTTACTAAACTTGACGTGTTTATATATATATATATATATATATATATATATATATATATATATATATATATATATATATATATATATATATATAATTTTTTTTATATTTATTAATTACAGTTAAATAAGCATTGATATATGTAAAAAAGTTAATTATGTTTTATTTTTTTTTAAATTTTGAAACGCAATTAAAATTGGTGTCTATTTTAATTTTAATATAATTTAATCTTTAAATTTATAAATAAATAGATATTTTTTTTAAAATTTAATTAAAAGTTCATTATTTTAAATATCAAAATAAAATTTTACATGTTCTAGTTTAGATATTTGTCTGAAATATTATTTAATACTTAAAAAGGTTTAATTTTTAAATTAAAATTTAAAATAAAAAATTCAATTTTATATAAAAAATATAAATATATTTAATCTTGTAGAAAAAAATCCAGAATAATATCTATGAAGAGAAGGTTGCAGTCAGAGACAGGTGCAGAGGGCCTAACACCACGATATGAGTTCCACTGCAGTTTCCTATATTGTTAGCATGCCTTTAAATAATTTCAATTATTTGTTTTAGTTATTTTTCCTTTGGCATTACTTTATTAATTGTTAATATTTTTTTTATCTTGCATAAAAATATAATTCTTATCTTTATTTATATTGAAATTATTTTAAGCCCTAATTATTTCTTTCTTCCTTTCATTTATGATAAGTAACAAGCATATAGAATAATCTATAATTAAGTATATTTAATAAGTTTGAACTTTTAAAACAATGGACAAGATTTTTCCCTTTGAGAGTCTTAACAATTTTGAACTTTTAAAACAATGGACAACATTTTCCCCGTTTGAGAGTATGTACATTAAAACGAACCAATTAAAATATTTGAAAAGGATAAAAATTGAATAAAATTTTCAGCTTTAACTTTTAAAAAATGTATTTTTTTTAAATTATTCTAACATTTAAAATTTAACATATATGTACTATGTTAATTTTGCTATTGCATAGCCAAATGAATCTTAATCCAAAAGTAATTGAATCTATTATAAACATACAATTATTATTTTAGAACATTGATATTATTTTCACCTTTTTTTAATTTAAACCAAATTTAAGGTGAGATTTAACACTTTGGACAAAAGCTTATTTATCATTTATTTAATAAATGTTTTTTTAAAAATAAAGAATGAATTACTACAAAAATTCACAATAATCTCTAAACCAACTCACATTTAAATAATAAGTATTTAGATAAGTAGTAAAATATTAAGTTAAAGACAACATTAGGTGTAATACTTCATGTTTTGAGTATAGGGATCGAGGTCAACGGTGTAATATCTTATACGTTGTAAAAGGGTCCAAATGCTAAGCCAAATTATTTGTCTTCACACTATTGTTTGTTGGTATCGTTTATCCATTATGCTTGAAGATTACCTGTATAAAGTACTCTAGTGTCAAAACCGGTAAAAACTCAACGACTTAAGCATTGATGAGACAGTAAATACAAAATCACCTACCTATATTTATAAATTTTAGTGTAAGTTATTGATTAATAATAGCTTAATTATGGCCCAATTGAAAGGATAATCTCTCTTTAACAAGACAGTTCGATTTGATTGATGATAAGTAGCTCGTTTGGTTTCATCTAACTAATGATTAACTGTTCGATCTATTTCTGACTAGTTGGTCATATGATACACTTTATAATTATCTCAATAATTAAAGTAAATAGTTACTATAGATTGAATTCATAAACAAGCGAACAAGAGTTGATTTTGATATTTAGAGAAAAGTTTATTTTTATTTAATACAATTTAAATTTTATTCACAAGGACCGTTATTTATTTATTTTAAAGATTTTTTAATATTTTGAAAAATTTATGTGTTTAGAGGTTTTTTATTATATTCTTGGTTTTAATACATAGAAAGTATAAAAGGAAAATTGTCAATTTATAAAAGCACAGCATTGACATTATCATGTGTTTTGAAATTTGAAGATGAAGGACATTAACTTTGTTTATATTACATGATGAAGGGAGGAAGTTGCACCCAAAACCTTGTCACTGATGGGGACAAATTAAGTCTATATATTTATTTTTCATCCACATCTTTCAAAACATTTTGTAGATGTTTTTTTCATTGCTTTTTGTACTCTTAAATTATTTCTATCTGTTGCATATCAATCAACCAACAAGTAAGAGAGAGAAGAATGTTTCAACTCATACCTCAATCTACTCACTGTTCTGATTTAAGGAGATGATTCCATGAACAGAAAAAGTCAAATAACTGTAAGATTCACTTACGTATTAAATATACTTTTCTTGTTATTCTTTTACATCTAAAATGCATCAAATATGGAAAGAGAAGGAATATCATATGTTAGTCTGTTTGATTCTCCTTATGGCAACCAAAGAAGGGTAATGTCATCGCCAAAAACAGTGTTATATGGTTCTGTAGTCCAATTTCTTCTTTGGATAATACTGTTCTTACAAGGACTACTCAAAAATATTGAATTTGTGGCATTCGTACTATCTCTAGACAAAGAAAACATACGTTGTAATCAATAACTGTACCCTCTGCTATACCTTTATGTATCAAAATGGAGAAAAACATAAAGATAAAAGTTCTCTTTAGACAAAGAAATAACGACTGATGAAATTTATTTAAGTTCCATTTGTTCAAAGAAACCACTTGAATAAGGAAACACATGCAGAAAAGTATTATTTTTCTTTTATCACCATTTATGTCAGTTGAAGCTCTGTGTACTTTAACCAAGTTCCTAGTTCTCTCCTGCACTTAACAAAGGCATTTTCTGCATTACCAAAATGGTACACGAGCAGGATGAATTTCTACAGCTACAAAATGTGTAGTAATAGTTTCTACAGCTACAAAATGTGTAGTAACTGATTATCGCGCCCCATTCTCCAATGCTGCCTAATTTTCAAGAACAATGATAAAAGTAGGAATGTAGGTGCTGTCTAAGGTATCCTGCCCGAAAAGTAGCTAGCAAATATATATACATGTTACGTTGATAAAAGGAGCATTTATTCTGGTGGTCTTAAGCAACCTCCAGGAAGAAGGAACTTAAATTTATCTGCATTCTCTATCAAGTATGCAGGAAGATGAACTGCAGAAGCTGAACGGGGTATAGACCCCATCTTTTTAATCAACTCTTTGAAAGAGTATTCCTCAGGGAGCATATCAAAAAGGTCATCTCCCTTGCAAATGTTGTTCTGAATTCTTGAGTGACTTAAGAAAGACTTCCGTTTCACACGGTCTGCATGGCTATAGGCAGTCATCTTGAACACAAACTCTGAAATATACCGAAAGCAGAAGCTGCAGTGCCATCCTGCATCGGAGAAGATTAAGTCTGTCTGGCGTGAGTGGCGGTATTGTGTCCGGGGACCAAAGATGTGGGCAGTGGAACGCCAGCTGCTGTAGTCCACCGGAAACTCAAATGAGTACATGTAATGCCTCAACTCAAGATGCATTACGGGAGGAATCCCTTCACACCACTGAAGTAGCTTCAAAGTATGAGGACTTGGAATTTCATCTGTATCTGACATGAGAAGAATATCACCGTAGGAAATGCCTGCACGGCGTAACAATGAGTTCATAGCCCCCCGTTGTTTTGATTCAAGCATGAATGGGTCCTCATATGATCCAGGGACTGCAACTCTGCCAGGATAAATGTCATGGACAGTCTTATGCATGGCAAAGGCAAATCTTGAAAGATTGGACGCAAAGAAGAGTCTCTTTGGAATGCCTGTAAACGTTGTATTGGACTCAAGGATCACGAATTTTGATACATAGGGAAAAAGTTCGCGCCATCTGATCTCTAGCAGATCTAACTCATTGCTGAAAATGACAGCATCAAAAATGCGGCGAGGCTCAGAGCGAAGGGACCAACCATGAAGATTGCAAAGGTGGTCCATGGAGACATTTTCTGCATAATAGTGAGGCATACGTTTGAAAGGAGAAGGCGGGTTGTCCCAAAGGGGACGGAAGAAATAAGAAATCTTCTGGCCATGGACAAAAATTCCAAACAAAAAAATTGGCACCAGTAATAGAAGTAACAAACAAAAGAACATGGGAGGTTTTCTCCTAGAAATGAGGCGTGGTCGAGGAACCAGGCCTTGCACTTGAAGGGGAAACATTGAATGTTCTAATTGATTTCCCCAGCTTGACAATCAAATTCAGAAATATCATGTTCGCCTGCACCAGTTTTAACGTAAGGGATCAGAAACAGCAACAAAAAGTGATCATATTCTACAATTCATGAGATATATGAATACTAAGGTTAAGAAAAAAGTGCGGCATAAGTCCTCATAAAAATGATGAAAACTCTCGAAATTTTTTACCAAGGAGAGTGACTCTCTTAGCATAGACATACCGCACGCTAAAACATAGCAAGGCTACAATTGCAGCTAAACAGGGGATTTTCCAAAAAAGATGTTGTGCTTGTTGTTAACAGAAGATACCAAAATTTCCAAACAGTTAAGTATTCTCACATTGAAGTCACATTTCGATAGACACCAACCAAATATGAACAAAGGATATTCGGTATGCATAGAAAAGTGCAGACATTTGTAATGAAAAAGAAATCTCAGAACCAACTAGTTTCTGACTTTTAGAAAACAGTTTTTGAACAAGAAGTTTGGCAAGAGAATTAAGACAACAATGCGGCCAAAATTGAAACAAATGACCTAACTCTTCCCCTTATATCACCAATGCCAATAAATTACAAAATAGTTAAGCCTATCTATCACAAAGATTTCAGACTTTTACGGTTTATCATGACATTCCTTTACAAGTGATGATTTTAAGTTTGACACAGCAATTAATAATCCGCTCCTAAACCCGACAATAAACCATAAAGGAACGGAATCAGAAACTTGGAATCAAACTGTTCGGTAATAATCTACGAGGAATCATTCGAATCGATTCCCCTTCTCCCGAACAAAAGACAAACGAAATATTCACCCTTCTCAGAACCCATATTGAAAGGAAAACCACCTTAAATTGGCAAACCTAAGTTTCAGAAACGAGACAAAAAAAATTGGCCTCTGGGAATCGTGAAGAACACATTTTTGGCCCCCCACACCGCAATGAAACACTCATGCAAACTGCAAACCCGCGCACTAAATAAAGAATTGTAAAGAAAAACAACAATAACAATAAAAAGGGCTATAAATGCATGAAGAAGAAGAAGAAGAACGAAGAATAGAAGAGTACCTTAGAGAAGTTGCAGAAGGTAAGAAAGAGATAGGAATAGAGGGTCGAAATGGATTGCGAAAATCCATTGAAAGGTAGCGAAGAGCGACAGAAGGGGAGAGGATAAGAGCGAAAATAGGTGTTCTTAATATCCCAATCCTAGCTACCAATTGTATCCTTTTCTCGTAAAATTGGACTCTGGGTAGTAAGAAAGAGAGAAAGAGCCAGAGGAAGTGAAGGTACCAGAAAGAAAAAACAAAACAGCAAATTAAACCTTTCTTGAATTTGGAAAGAGTAATCTATCGAATTTCAAGATAATTTTTTTTTTCTATTTGAAGATAAATGAAAATAAATTTGAAAACAATATTTATAAAAATTAATATAAGATTTAATTGATGTGATAAATTAAAAAATTTATTTAAATTCATTTAATTATTTTTTTTTTAAATTGATTTAAGTGAAGAAAGATTTTTCAAACCTCATTGACGACAACATTAACGTTACTATCAACATCATAGGTTAACACCTTCATCTTCTATTAATTATTGCTCGATAGCAACACCAGTGAACAAATATAGTGTTTTATTTGTTGAAATAAAATATTTAATTTTATTATACACGCCTAAAGAACCTTTCATTAAGAACACGAATAAATAAAAAAAAATATAAACTTATTAAAGAATATTTTTAAAGTAACTAAAAAATAGTTAATATATCTAAAAAAATAGGGATAAACAATTACTTGTACACCTTCCACTGAACAGTAAACTGAAGTAGTCCTTTGTTTTTTTTCCTTTTCTTTATCTGTGGGGGTTATAGTTTTAGGGTTTATTTATTAAAAAAGCGTTGTTAGATTTGGATATTGGGAATATTGGAAGGTTCAAAGTGCCATGCGTCTAGTAAGGAACAGGGCGATGAATTCGGAGGGTTTAGTTCAGAGTCTGTTTCTTAAGGGTTAAAAATGGCTTTTAATATTTGATGGTATAAAATAAATGATATTCTTATTCCATGAATCTTAGTGCATTTTAATATTAGGATATGTGATTCAGTGCATTCCAGTTAACAAATCCACTCTAACCTATCATAACCGACATCTTAATGGTCCACTCCAATCTTTTTTCTATTTCACCTCTCATCCTTCAATCCATATTATCACGCCATAAAACAAAATTCAGATATTTCCAACTTTTTTTCAAAAAAACCTTACTTTGTGCTTGTAAGGTATTTAAAAAACTTAATGCTTTAGAGACTAGCTTACTAAGCTCAAGAACACAGTAAATAATTCTCAGTTTTTTTTTTTTTTAATTTCAATCCTCATAGCTTTACACGGTGAGCTTTATTCATAGAATAAGATAAATTTAAATTTATCTAAATAATCTTCAGAATGTTTCGATCATATATAATATACTTGTGTTTATTCAATAATATTTATAGTTGTTGTAGTAACATGTTTGCACCCATATTTATATTTATATTTAAGATGAAGAAATTGAATAATGATAAATAAGAGTTTAATCTATTTTTCAAAATTCTTATTGCATATATGAAAAAGTCCTATTGCTCAAAACTAACTAGAAATAATAAAATATGAATGGAATATATGAGTCAACAAATAAATCCAAGTATATTTATTTAGTATAAATATAGAAGAATTTAATTATAATCAAACTAAAATAATTTGAAAGAAATGTGACGGGTGTAAGGACTCAATTTATATATATAAAATAAAAATAAAAACTTCTCAAAATTGTATTTTGGGATTTTATTTTATATATTATACATACATAGCATAAAATATAATTTTATAATGTTTTCTAAGTTGATACCCCTCTATTTATTGATATACAAGTTTACTTGAATTGTTTATTTTATGTATCCTCCGTTGTTTCACTATTATCTATTTTGAAAAAGTAAATAATTTTAATTCTATGATATGATATTTACAACAAATTGAAAATTTAGTTTTACATATATTTATATTTATAAATATAACACAAATAAAATCAATGATCAAATGCTATTTTGTCATACAACACATTAATTTTAAAATCATAAAATAAAACAATAATGTTAACCTCTTTGTAAAAATAATATAAAATAATGTCAACAATGGATTATTTAGTTATATTAAAAAAATTGACTCCTTCTATAGGGTGTGTTTACTCATAGAGATGAATTTGGGAAAGAAATTGATAGATTTGAGAATATTAAAGAGTAAATTGGATGTTTTTTTTAAGGAATTTGGGATGAATGAAAATGGATTTGAAAGTAAATTGTATGAAAGTTTATACAAAATTTGACTGATATAATAAATAAAAAAGTGTTTTGATAAATAAAAATTTAAATTACCAAAATATCTTTAATGAAAAAATAATATAAAGTGATATTTGTTAATAATATAATTATTTGTAAATAATAACAAAGGAAAAAAAATAAAAAATAATTTTGAAAATAAAATAAATTTGTCAAGTAATTCTCAAGTAAGAAATGTTCCAGAATGTTGGTAAAAAACCTAGGCACGTGACATAACAATGTCATGTTCTCTTTCCACCATCCAATCTTACTTAGCACTCCATACCCATGCAAACAATAATCTTTCTCCACCTGTCTCCTCCACCATATTGTTTTAATTGCTTCCAAACAGTGTTAGAAGCCTCAAAACCACACCATCATTTTAACAGGTTCCCCCCTGGCCACCCTTTCCTCCGCGGTGCCTACCACCATCCTTTTGTCATGAGCCACGCAGTTATTGGACGCTGCAGCCAGAAGCCCCTGAAGCTGGTCAATCGAGGACCTTGTCTTTGTCATCTCCGTCTCCACCCGCAATGGTGTCGTGGCTTCCGGTGTGAGAGCTGGTGAAACATTACGCATGGTGGCGGTAGGGTGTTTCGCTTTGGCGTAGGGTGTGACGGCAAAATGGGTTTGAAGAGGTAAGGTAACGTGAAACGTGGTACTGAAAAAGTGAAGAGGAGTTTTCACATCGGTGGGACGCGAGGGAAAGGTGAGGCTGGTGGGTGGTGGAGAGGGGTGATTCTGATGGACCAAGTTGAAATCGTTTATTTTAATATTTAGAATCGATTTCACGTATTCTTCAAAGTACAGAATACACGTTAGATTTGGGTTGGTCATTTCAGAAATGACAATGGTTAAAATAACATTTTGAAATAATTTCTTCCAAATCACAGCACTTCCGAGGATTAAAAAAAAGAACAATGCATCTCGCAATTCTTTGCTCTCTTCTTTTCATATTTACTAAAGCGAACTTACAAATCTGTCGTCGTCACCATTATTCGTGCATGCGAACACAGCATTATAATGTTTAAGATTCAAACTTATATTTATGATTTTTTCTAAACTTCTTATGCCATTGACTTGGGCTTAAAAATCAATTATAATCACAAATAAAAGTATTTTTTTTCTTATAAAATTCAAATATTTTTTAATCCTTTTCTCAAGCTCTTAATTAAGTTCTTTACTTTTTGTTATCTTATTTTAACTATATCAACAAAATTCAATGTTAAGAATAATTTTGAATACAATTTAGTAAAAAAGAGAGTTTTTGGTATTTCTGGTCCATAAATAATTAAGTTACTACTATTATTTTTTAGATATCTTAATTATATACTCATTAATAATCGAATTTATCAACTATGTAATTATATATACTTTAATACGATCAGTATTTTACAAGCTTCAGTTGACACAGAACCATGTACTTATGTCGGCTTTTCCTTGCATTTAAAAAAATTAAATTAAAATCAATAAATTTAAAAAAATTTAACCATTCATATATATATATATTAACCAGGACACTGTTCAAATATCCAATCGTAATAGAACAAAGAAAGACAAGCTCATTATGTCAGGAACGCTGCTGCGTTGAGGTTGAAGAAAATCTTGAACCTTGCATGTTGGCTTGGGCCAAATTGGGCTTTAGAATCATTCACAAGACAGAGAACAACGACATGGGAGAAAAAAAAAATACGTGTTTACAATAGTTAAATAAGTTTTTTAATCTTTTAAAATTAATCTCTATTCAAATTGATACTTTTTAAAAATATTATTTTATATTTTTAATAAATATATGAATTGTGTTTTCATATTTATTTATTATTTTTAAATTATCGGTGATATGTTCATTTTAAAGTGTTACATGTTAACACAATGCAAATATCATACTAGTATAAACTACTGTCGGAATTAAACTTATATATTTATTGAATATTAAATAGTAAGATCACTATTTAATCCCTGTAATTATTCAGCATTTATTTTGGCGCTATTATTTTTCTTCTGCATCTCGATAATAGACCACTGGATTTGTTTATGTGGTGGTGTAAAAAAAATAAATCAACAATTGGAGTACTAAATATTTTCTTAAATAATCATGTTTGTCGTTTAATTTCTGACACTTTTAAGCTATTCTTGACGTGAAATCAGTTTTAAAGATGGATATATTTCTATAATGATTCTTTGAGCTTAATGCAATACTAGTGCAAATTGTTCACAAGTAAACGACAACCAGATTCATGTTAAAGGGTTGAAGTTTGAAAAGAGAATTGCATTAATGATAATTTTGAGTAAAGTAAGACCACGTTCATTAGAGATAGACACTTGTATAATGTACAGTAGTCAAAGAGATGTATTAATGTGTTTGATTTTGTTATTGTTTTTTAACTTTCGAAGTCATATAAGTTTAAAGTAACCGTGTGAAACCAGTAATAATTAATTTTAATTTTAATTTGTGTTTAAAATATGTATGTAATGTATGTCAACTAGCTTTTGTTTTGGATCGAGGGAGTTAAATGTGTTTAGTTTGAAGGTGAAAAACATAATATTAGAAATTATGTTTATATAGAAATCGTAATGAACTTTGATTTGTTTGACTGAAATAAATTATTAGAATTAAAAGTTAATAACATCAGGGTGATAATACGAGTATTTAATTGTAAGTTGAACTTAAACTAGATTTAAATATGATAGACAACGAGTTTAAAGACTAAGAGTGTTAATATATGAATAGAAATTTCTTTTCATTACAAGAGTCGTAGATCTCCATTCGTATCAATTATTTCATTTTTTTTTTCACAAATGCGAAATGAGTTTTTAATCTCTAACATTCAACATAAATCCAAAAATAACCAATTTCAAAAATAACTAGTGATATTTTTTTAAATACAACAAAAAACAAATTAGAAATTGGAGTACTTCATTAGTCGATGTCATATACATTTTAGACATCGATTCTATGGATTTGTCGAAATCATATATGATTTCGACGTTTAATTATGTTTAAATTATTAAGAAATGTAATATGAAAGTCATTTTTTAGTAATCATTAGACGTTATCTCTCTACTTGTCCAACATCTAATTAGATAGGATGTCGGTTTTCTAAGACATCTGACATCATATGTTGTTTTCTGAAAAAACAGCGTGAGAGATCATTTCTCTTCTACTGTTTTTTCATGTTCTTTATTCTTTAGCCTCTTAGTGACTTCTACTATCACTACCGAAGTAACTTTTCAACCATTTAATGCAAATGCATGTTTGAAGGTTGCTCTGAGTATGATTTTGTAATGTTTTCGCCGATTGTTTTCGTGCAATTTCTATGTTTTGAATATTTTTAAGTGCGAGATGGATTCTTTTTTCTCCTTCTCTAGTGACCCGATAATACCATCCTTCAACTTCGTTAAGGTTTTTTGGTTTTGGTTGGATACATGGTTAGTTTTTTGTTTCCAATATACAATGTATGATATTTGTCTCTTAATTGGTTATTAGATGTGATTTTGGTGTTTCACTTGCACTTAGCCAAATTTAAAGATACAATGATTTTCATATACTTAGCCAAACACTTTTAGGTATTTGATACTTATGTTTTTAGTTTCCATTGCACTTTGTTTTGTGTTTCTTGTAAGTGGCATTGATTGTTTTGTTTTTATTATTATTGCTTTTATCTTAAATAATTTTTTTAGTTGATCTTTTTGATATAATAAAGTTATGTTATTTTTGTAGTACTTTAAGAATTTATCAACTACAACAAATGACATAAAGAGAAAAATAAAATAAAAGTGGACAATGTAGCTTCTTGATTGATGCACTTAGGACTCACAATTACAATTGTATTTTAGTTTAAAACTTTGATTAGTCTAGTTTTAATATTAGTTTTGATAGTTTTAGTATTAGTTTTGATTAGTTAACAATTTTAGTTTTGAATATATGCATTTGAAACATTCAAAATTCTTCAGCAATTTTTCTATTTTTTAAGTTTGAAAAAATTATAGAAAAAAAAATAAAATAAAAAAAGCAATTACTGTCCACTAATAGACACAAATGACATAAATAAATAATAACAACAAAAAAAAGCAATAATCATTAAAAATATTAGTACTCAATATAATATTTTCAAAATTGTCTAATCTTAAAATATATGAGGTTTGATTCCTTAATATTATATTTGTGGTGAGGTAAGGAATGCATGTGTATAACTTTGTCATTATTTTATTGAGATTTTATATCTTGTTTAATTTATACTAACTTAGACTTTATAACTTATTTATAATTAGTATATATATATATATATATATATATATATATATATATATATATATATATAATATGATAGACAAATAGTAAAATAAAACAAGAATTATCAGGAACTTAAGATTTATAAACTATATGTGTAATTCTATTTATTTTTTTCAGAATTTTTTTTATTTTATGCTCTTTCTCAAATATAATTTTTCCCCTTTAAATTAAGTCGAGCTAAAGTATGTGTAAACAGGTACCCACCAAAGTTGAAGCATAAGTTTTTCATTTGCGTCATGCATTCTACTTAAAATTCACATATATTATGCAGAAAACAAACCTCGTTTATCACGTATACTCATGTCAAATGTTAATACGCAACATACCAAACACATTGTTACGATGAACAAAAAAACTAAAACTTAGATTGAGATCCTACCTTATAAAATATTATGCAGTATAGTTTTAAACTTTAAATTGAATATAAAAATATAACACTTTCATAAGAAAGAGTAAAAGAAATTAAATAAGATAGAGTATGAATGAAAATACACGCATGTCACAAACTTTTACTATGTTTTTATCACCAACCAACTGTGAGAAAAGTTCATAGTTTTTCATACAAAAACTACATATTAATACTGTCAGGCAAATACTAAGATGTTTTTTATACTTGCACGCAAGCTAGATTAGATACAGTTAACCAAAAGAAAAAAAGGTAAACGCCATCTTATCTCTCTTTTCAATTAAGGTTTGGCAAACAAAGTTGACAAGCTCATTTTTTATCCTCATTCATCTGTTACTCTTCTTCATCAATTTCAGTCTTTGTGCACATCCAACAAAACTCCTGCAAAATCCAAAAATTCTATTTAGTTACACATCTTAATTGGAACTTTTATGCATATCAGTGTTCTTTCTGTGAAAGATGTTTCTTCTTACTCCGTACATTTTGGAACAGAGACATTGATTCTAAGTTCAAATTAATTATTTTTATCATGGATGGAACAAGTTGAATTGACAAATGAATGAATTGAGTTTTTGATTTGGTGAAGAATGAAAAAGATATTAATTAGATATACACTTGCCTCCAAGGTACATCTTGTGCCAGAAGCCAGTCACCTTCTTTATCCTGATAAGCCAATTCATAGCTGTTTGATTCTTGATGGCCTGTTCCAAACATGTCCATCAAGGTTTCCGTCAGCGTCTTAAAGGATTGGTGCATGCCAAGTTCAACCTTCCGTGCAATTCCAACACCCTCCATCTTCACCTTCACATACAGAGACTTTGAAGAATTGGATCTTCCCGTGGTCAAACAACCATGGCCGTGACACCGGTCAACCCATACCACGTGATTGTTTTTTCCTACAACCTCGTCACGGTCTCCAATGTTATCGACACGAAGTTTCTTTCTCCAATAGTTTACCGGTGGCCAACCCACAATATCTTCGGCATCCTCTTCATCCTTTCTGATTAAACAAAAACAAAAGTCAAAAAAAGAGTTTTGCAATGGATGATCACATCATCTGTTATCTTGCCCAAATGAAAAACACAAAAACAGTTAAAATTTTGCAAAATTTAGTAGTACTCACTTGGTGATGCTAGAGCATTGGCTGTGTTGATCGTGATCATCTTGATGGTGGCTTGGCGTCAAAGGAAGGAGAGACAGCGTGGGAAGTACAAGGTCGGTGTGGAGAGTTTGTGGTGCATGATCAAAGAGTTGGAAGAAGGTACGTTTTTTATTGAAATTATTTTGATGGAAGATAGAATCGTAAGCATGAGAATTGAGGTCAAGTGATTGAGATTGATTGGTTGAGAGAGCAAGACCAAGTTGAAGCTCCATTGCATGCAATGTTATGGTAGTGGTATATGTGAAGAATAAGAAGAGAAAGAGAAAATCTAAGGGAAATGTATATATATATATATAGATGATGAGAGACAGAGTAAGAGCTAGGGATGAGGGTTTTAATTTGTAAGAGAGAAAGAAGAGAGTAGGGTAGGAGAGTCAGGGCTGGCCGGTATGGGACAAGGTGTTGGGAAGAAAGGGTAAAATGTCGGAATCAATGTTTGCCTTTTTGCCGACCCGAATGCCTCCTTGTTTATTTGTATTTCTTTTTTCAGATCCCACCTTAACCCCACCAACCCACTCCTGTTGCTATTATTACCATCACTGTTATTCACGCGCATTCCGTTCAAATCTCATCTCCACTCGCTTACTTTCTCATGGACATGCAACCCTAAAAACACTCACTACTTACTGTTTAGATTCTGTTCTCTCCGCATCATATCATCGGATCCTCTTTAGCTTCTTTAATTATGTATTCCTTTTGTTTCTTCAATCTTTTTTTAATCCACCTTTCAATTAAAAATACACTTTATTTTAATCACTTCATATATATTGTGTATTTTTATTTATCAAGACTTAATTAAATATCCAATCCCTACTTCAAACATAGCATCTATTATATATTTATGATATTATATATAATTTTGTACAACTATAAAGAAATTACAAATAAAAAACTGAAAAACTTTTACTCAATTCTTATTATTAATAATAATAATAATAATATTAATAAGAAAATAGATAGGTTAAACATATGATGGGATTCTTATTCTTGGTTAGACAGATAAGAGGTTTCATTATACAACTTGGACTTAATATTTAAATGTTTTAATCTTGATTTACTTGGATAAAATATATTAGTTAGATGTAGATAGATCACCAAGCAATACATTAAGATTTCCACCAAAATTTTAACGTTTTTTTTTATATAAATATGAGATTGACTTGAAGGTATATGTACTGTAGGACAATTCTTCTTTGAATTGGCTTTCTTTAATTATTTTGAGATTAATGGTAACTGTGATGACATAAATATGCTACACCTCACATTTATATCACTTCTTCCACAAACCATATGACTTATGTTTTTTTTTTAAAGTGACTACTTTTATATGTTATAATTTAGTCTATATTAATATTATCAATTAATTAATTATAAAAATTTAAGTATAACTTCAATTATATAAGTAAATATCTAACATATGTAATCTGATTATAATATCTACATATCACTAGAGTATATTTTAATTGTTTAAACATAAATCGATTTTGTTATTTTATTTGGATTCAATACATCAAATACAAAAAATGCTTAAATTAGAAAAAATGAAAATAAGCAAAAAGAAAATGTTTTTTATAATAAAATTATTTAATTCATGTTTATGATATTCCTATATTATGATTTTTATTATTTTATTAATTCATTAGGTTTCAACGCTAAAAAAGTTGGTTGTAATCAATTCTGTGCAAAAATTTACAATACAAAAGTTCTATGCTCGATACTTTTATTTAAATCCAATTTCTACCATGATTAATTATTTCATCAAAAGGTTATTTTTCTATGTGTTTTCTAAGTTCTAAAATCAGTTACTTAAATAAAATAAGTTAAAAAACAAATTCTTTTTAAGAGATTAATAAAATAAATAGATATTCCTTAAAAGAATAAAAAGTAGACACTAGTATAAAAGAGGGAGACTATTAAATAAAAACTAAAATTGAAAGAAATAACTGGTGAATATTTATTTTTATATATCTTTTTAATTTATTACTGTCTTATTAATTTTTCTTTCACTTTTACTTACGCCAGTGACTACAACACATACTTCAAACAATATTTTGCAACACATCCTTCAAACAATATTTGTTCATGGATTTTAATTCACTCTATCAAGCTCTAACATCTAATTATGAATTTTAGTTTTATATATTAATTAGAAATGAGAACATTAATAATATATATATATATATATATATATATAATATTCATAAATTCCTTATTTTTTGAATTGTTGGAAGTGAGTGTTAACATCTTGAATGAACTTGGTGCACTATATCATTGTTGCTGAATTTGAATCCAGATTCCTTCTTGAATTTTTTTGGTGTTGTTCCTTTAATATTATATCTTCAAAATAAAATTAAAAATTTAACTAACAGATACATCAAACATACATGTTCTTCTTTCACATGTTGTTGAAAAATATTAGAAACAATTGCAATCAATATTCTCTAGACAAGTTAGTGAAAAACATTAAATGCAAATACAACAAAATTTCTTCAATTTTTCTCTAAACTGAGTTTAGTTGTAAAAAGAGATGGTTATATGAAAGTCTCCATGTAGAGAGGTCTTTACTTAAAAAAATTGAATAAAATGAGGAAAAATTGATCTTACAATTCATATGAAAAGAAGCCTAGACTTGACAGACAAATAAAAAAAATTTCAATGAAATAATTAGTTATTGTCAAAATTGTATTTAAATAAATGTACTAAACCTGTAACTCTGAATTTGTTCTCTATATTAAAAAATGTTGAACTGATTAATTTTACAAAAAAAAATTAATTTTAAATCAGTGATTTAAATTAGATCAAAATTAGTCTACTAAGATTTTTTTTTTTCAAACTATTATGAAAAAATGTATTTAGTTTTTATCTAAATTATAAAATATTTAGTCATTATATTTTATAAAATTAATATAAAACATCCTTTCCATGAAATTTTCATCAAAAATTTAATTTAATAATTTTTATAATAATTTATGGAGAAAAAAAAACATATTCAATTTTTAAAAAAATATAATTAGGTTTGCAACAACAACAAAAAAAATGTAACCGGGAATTAAATCATTTTTCTTATAAAAGATAAATTTACATTGTGTGGAGTTAGGATATATTTACTTTAAAATTGACTAAATTAATTTTTTAGATAACTAAGGTTCAACTGTTGAGCATGTCACATGCAAGCTCCATATAAGTAAAGTTGAAAAAATGAGTGTTGTGAGGAGAGAAGCTGCTTTGATTAAGGGGTTGATAGAGATGGAAAGCAAATCTGAAGATACACTTCTCAGCTGTATCTAACACCTTTACCTATCACATGCTTAACCACCCTAATCGCAATTTTCCTTTTTTATTCTTCTGGCTTTCAAATTCCCTTTCCTTATGATATTCTTTACTACTCATTTGTTTTGTTTTTTTTTATTTTTTTATTTTTTTCTTTATCTCTCTAAAATCTCAAGAAATAAATTATATTCTTGGATGGACAATTTTTTTATTACAATCAAAATATTTTTAATTCTGCCTGAACAACAATATTATGGCACAGTTTAGGTTGGAGTGTTTTCAGTCTAAGATATCATTCATCTATTTATCTAATCTATTATTGCATGACATACCTTATGTTACGTAACTCCATCTATAAAAAATAAAACATAAACAATACAAAAAAGAATAATACAGAAAACTTCAGTTTTAGAATATAGAGTTTTTAATCATTATATATGATTCCAAAATTAATAATTTAACATTGAAATTCCCTTTAATAAAAAATAATAATTAAATTAATTTAAATAAAAATAATATTTAAATTTATATTATTCGATATTCTTGATCTTAATTATATATATTCAAATTAATTAGGTTATGTAATATAACTTTAAATCCAAAATTATATCTAAATTTAATTTAAACTAAAAAAATTCTAATCAAATTAATCCAATAAATTTGCTTCAAAATCTATTTTATTATAATTTAATTAGATATAAATTTGTAACTAATTATTATAAAAGTTTTTTAGCATTAAAATTCACGTGGTTAATTATTTAGACAATTCAAGAATTGTATTGAACTGTAGTGCTTATCACACTAGACCTTTGATACTATTTCCGGAAGATCCACTATAATTTAATATTCCTTAGCTTTCTTTTTATCTATTTTAAATCTTGGAAAGATGTTGTTAATTTTATTTATCCATTTAGAATTTCAAAATTTCAGAAAATAATAATGCAGTTCTTATCTTCTTCTTTTTTTACCATAAGCTTTTAAATAATATAAGACTTCAGTTGATTGGATTAGACAGAGAAAGAAGTATACGAAATAAAAAAATAATACCCCAATTTTATTATAATATGATTTCTTTTTGCAAAAATAATTTTTAAAAACATAATAAAAAATAAGTGAGAGTATTTAATTTAATAGAGGGGGCCTTATCTTAGTGTATAATCACGTATCATAATTCTCTCTTGGAATCTACATCCATATGCAATAAACTTACATTTTTTTAGTTAAGAAACATAAAAATAAACAAATATTGTAGAAGCTGATTCTGTTCTCGCATCAGAGCAAGACACGGATGCATAAATCAATAAAAGACCGACAAACGAAGAGACAGGGAATTTATGATTCAAAATAAGCGGAATCTTTCACTAAAGAAGATGATGAATGAAAAGCAATTAACAAATTATTGATAGCATTATGCAGAGAGAGAAACTAACCAAAAATGTGTTCCCTTCCCTATAAAAGTTAGTAACATATTCAGATGCGTAATCATGGAGAAAATGGAAGAAATTGAATATTGTTGTTTTATGGTCTGTGTTTGAAGCAGAGTCCCAACAATTCAAACTTAGAAGCATTGCCTCCTGCACTACCTTCACAAAATTACTATAGCAGTTGCTGTCAGCTATTGCTAGAACCATGTAAAGAGGTTTCACATGATGCCCCAACATGCACACGAGACATCTGGACCGCTGTACCCACGTGCCCTCCTTACAATAATACTAAAAGAAAATGCAGCTTCAGACATGTAAGGATTTGGCCCCTACAGTTATTTTCTTTGTAGATATCAGATCAAACCCTTTTTCAGATCTTATTATGTATTTAAAAACCAGTTGAATATTTTTAATCAGGTAAAAAAACTGTCTGCATAATATTATTTTTTTAGTAGTTTCAAAACAAAGCGTCTTTGAATTCCGACTCTTTATTTTTTAAATCACATTAGAATCTTCCAGAAGGAGTCTGTGTCAGTTTCTTGTGAAAGAAAAAACCATGCTGAGTCTAAGACCATAGAGACCATGTGTTTCAA